TGAACCTGAGTTTTCTATAATCCAGAGAGCCTTCTAGCACTGCTTCCAAAACCTTTTGTTAGCTTTGAAAACTTTCAGCATTGTGAGTTCCAGAGAAGAGTTCACAGCTATCTATCCAATTTCCCCTTTTCTTTTTCCAAGTGTTTGTCACCTAATTCTCCCTGAAACCAAAGCTTTCTGCTTAACATTTTCCATGAGCTAGCAGTAGCCACTGCCAGGTCACTGTTGCTCCTTTCTGTGAATCTTCTTCTTAGGTGTTTAACTGTGAGACAAATTAGGAATGAAGATTCCAGTGAATAGCAGAGAGGCAGGAAATCAAGCGTCATAAAACTCAGATTTAGGTCCAATGACTCAAAGAAATAGAGGTTCCTATCTCTTATGACTATACTTGTGGGAATGGATCTCTCTGCATAAATAAGCAAACTACTTTTACAGAAGTAGTTGTGATTGGACCACCGAGTGATGCAATGGAATGAATTGTCCTTCCTAAACAACTGGCATCATCAAAATAAAGAGCAAATTCAAACTGCCATTATTGATGGCAATATGAGAAGTTAGAATAGGGAAGAAACCCAAATCCTAACATGTCCCATTTCAATCTTAATTCCATTTTTTGAGGTAGTACAGTTCATTGAAGGTAGGTACAAGATGAATATGAGTATAACTGAACCATTGCAGAGGTGCTTGAAACACTTCATTAAGTAAAGAAATGTGGAGCAATGATGAGCTACCATCTTTGTATCAGTATGGGCATAAATTTCTCTGACTCATTCAGGTACTCATGTACATGGAAAAACCTGAATTTCCTAATTGTTGCAGATCAGCAGGTTATCCTTTAGAGCAGTCAAAAAGCCTGGTGTGGAATTTAACTGCAGTTGCCCATGTAACTACTTGATTTTTCTCAGCCTGGTACGTCCATTCAAGAATCATACCCAAAGCACCATGTCTGCACACTAACGGTACTCCGTGTCCCATGTACTCCGTGATCCTCATCAGGAGTGTCATTAATTTGTAAATTTGGGGGTCATACCTGTATGAATTTTTGTTACTCTGCAACATCAAAACCTGAAAGTTCCCATGGGTCAGTTAGTTTCTTGGGACCTTGCCTCCAAGTCTTACATGGGACTTTGATTTGCTAATCCAAAGTCCCTACAGCAATTTAGCACTTAATAATAGGCAATCAAGTAATTTCTGGTGTATTACAGAAAAAGACTAAGCAATCCTGTACAATCCATGGGCTGTTATCCAGAATTGTTCAACTGAAGTGATGCTGTTTCACACCAATTTTCACTGAAGATAAAAGGCCATATTCACAGGTCCATCAACTTCTGACAGGCACTGAACTAATCGTCTGTGCAGCACTCGTCAATGAAAGTGCCTGGAGCATTTAAATCTTTGCAAAGGAAGCTGAAAACTACAATTAGGTGTCTACAGTCTGTTCTGTAGCTCACATTTATTGCCAAACCCTGTAAAATAACTCCTTTTTTATAGAGTAGTATTTATAAAGCACATAGAGTGGTTAAGTCAAGATAAAAGCTCTGGGGAATGATGTTTGAAGACTATCTAAGGAAAACACTCCTAGACTTCAGTTTTAAATGTGTACTTTTTGAGAGACCAGTGGGAATTTCTAACTTTTCAGAGTTACTGGAGAAATAAAAGGAATTATCATATATGTTGAGGAAACATGTTTCATTCTTTTACTGTTCTTTTTAGGTTGCAAGAGTTGTCAGCCCCCAACAGTGGTTAAAATTGCACTTGATTTAGAAACTTCTAAAATAATCTCAAATGAAAATATATCAGTTTGTGTATTATTAGATAAATATTTAAGAATATAGTAAAATGTAAGATGAATGAATTTTTAAGTTTGTTGGTAGTCTCTTTCTTTTATTTAGAAAAATACAGCAAACAAATCAGTATAAAACACTTATTGTCTAACAGAAATGTTACTACAAATTGAAAGGGAAGTGTTGACAATATAAATTAATTAAATGATGCAAAAATTAAAGTACCGACTCTCTTCCTTCCACATACAAAAGCCTGCACTTGTCAAGAAATATTCCCCCCACCATTTTTCAACTGCCTGTGGCCACGTGCCAAGCCCAAACCATATCAAATGAATTAGCTTAATACAGGTATAAATATGCTCAAACAAAAAGATCTAACATGTAACTGGTTTATGTGATGTTCTTTCAATTAGCCATATTCCAATAAGTCTCAGTTTTAATTTCATAAGCCTCAGAATTCATTTGGCTTTGGTGAATTCTCCTCCCCCTCAGTAATTAACTATTTAACTGTGACTAATGAAAAAAAGAAGTCAAATTGCATATTGGTTTTATCAGCAGTAACAGATAATTAATTAATCACTCATTCTATTGAAATTGCTTGAGTGTAATTAAAGAAAAGTAAATAATCAGTGCTGAGTTAGCTTTCATTTTCAGATTTCTATATGTTTAACTGAACACACATACATATAAGTGCCTGCATTTCTTTTCATGATAAATACTCTTTGGAAATTTTTGTCTTTAATTATTTTCAAGCATTTAGAAAGGTTTATGGCAGTTTTTCAAACAAACCAAAAAATGCATAATGGAGAAACTCATAATAACTGGAGCTGCACAAGTATACAGTTATAAATGGTAGCTCATAACTCCATATTTAAAACTACAAAGTGGTATCATCACAATGAAGAAAATTATAAAATTTTTCATGTTTTGTTGATCTATACTGTGTAGATCATAAAGTATTTTTCCTCCTAAATTGTCCATCCACCAAATATGTTTAAATGTTCCTATTACAACTATCAAAAACAGTGAACCATTTTAAGATCATACTGTAGGAATCAGAACTGAATGGACTAAATGCGTGTTTAGCCTTAAGACTTCTCTTTTCCTAACTATAAAAATATCATGCAAGTTTAAGAAAATGTATCTATAAGGATAATGTTTCATCCTAACCTATTTTAGAAATTTAGGATCATTTTGGTCTGTATTCTTCCCACGGATGTGGGAGAGTTAGACTCCCACCCAAGAGGATTAAGCCCACTCAAACCCATCAGGTTCCCAGTACTCAGGTGCTTGAGCCTTGCTGACACGGGCACAGGGGCAGGGTGTGTCTTCACAGGCACGCGGGGATGCCTTGTGCTGAGTGCCTAATATGGGGAGGGATGTGCTGGTTTGGCACCAAAGCCAGCCTACCCCGGGTTAGAACCTCATGGCTGAGATAGCCTTGCATGAAGGCAATTGTATGAAGGCAACGAGCCAGATGTAGTGATTTCTCTAAGTTGATGCCCCAAGATATGAAATGAAGGGCCCCATGTCTATCAGGCATCTACAGATCAGCAGGTATCTCTCATACACTGATTTCACACACCAAGTCTCCCTGCAAGGTGAGCAGCGCAGTCTGTGCACTCAAAGCCCTAAGTCCAGCAGGACTCCCTATGGTACCATACACACTGCAGTACACAACAATCTTTTATTTTGTATTTTTTAGGAAAACGATTGAACTCTAAACTAAGCCCTGCTCTTGCACAGCGACTGCAGTCTTACTTGTCCTTTTACAACCCTGTCATTTCTGTGCCTCCGGGAACTCAGTGGGAGCTGCTGACTCCATGGAGCTGATCAGTGGTATTTTGCTTCATACAACACAGCAGTTCATACCTCCTACTGACTTAGGCATTGTACTACTACGTTCTTCCACACTCGAACATAGCTGTAGTCTGTTCTGTACTCACAAATCGGCTATAACAGATACATGTATAAAAAAATGATACTAAAGCGTTGAACTACAAATAAACCTTGCTCATAAAAGCAGTTCTTTTTTTCTCATCATGGAGATGATCATGCTGGTTTGTATTTTTAGTGTGATTTTCAAAGACTTGCATAGTGTGCTTTACAAATATTGGATTTCTCTGAGATTATTTAGTAGTCTGTAAAATTTATGGATAAAAAGACATCCATTACTCTATTACCTTCAGCACTGTGGAAAAGTAAAATAATTTTGTGAAAGTAATGTAATGTCTCTTGAGCTGAGCTAAAAACACTTAGGAAAAAAAACTTCCCTTCTCCAACATTATTTATATTATTTTTTTTCCTTCTGTATTTCCAAAAGGTCTCTTGCACTAATGCATTTCAATGGCACTCAATTATGCAGTCCTATTCTAACTCTGCAAATGTCCTCACTTATGGCTTCCCATTATTGGGAGATACAAACTATTCATGTTAGCTATAACTAATTATTAAATTCCTGCATTGGCCAAAATCTAATGCCTATAGCATTTTTCAAATAGTCTATAACTATTTTTCAACAGTGTCTCTGCATTTTCCTGTTGGTTTTGTTTGCTTGTTTGTTTGTTGGGGGGGGGGGGGTTGGTTTATTTTATTTTACTTTATTTTATTTTAGTGGAAAATCAAGAGAATAGCCTCTCTTATCCACTTCTAAAGTACCAATCAGTTCTTCAGTAAAAATGACAGAAATGAGAAAGAATGCAATGGTAGAAAGATTGTATCTCACAAAATTCAAGCAAATCAAGAAAACATTTTGCTTGGAGATTGATGGTTGAGTGCATGAAAGAACAGACATATCTCTTAAAGAAAGCAAGAAAGTACCCTTGTGGTCAAGTTAAAAAGTACCCTTTTATCCAAGAGCTCATTTACCCTAAAGCCCATTCAGATGTGACAGTGTACGAATAAATACAGTATTTCCGATGGAAATTTCAGTACTGTATGAGTGGGTTATCTGAGAAAGAAACTAAAAATTAACTTTCATTGTGTTTGGAACAAGGACAATCACAAATGGGAACGTGGTGCTGTCCCTGAAAGCCAAACTTTTCTCACATTAAAAAAAAAAAGTCATTCTCAAATTCTCTTTTCCCTGGTAAAGTATTAAAACCCATCGTCCTTTCCATCTGACTTTCGCTCTTCAGCAGCTCTGAGGAGGTTTGGGCTCCCGGCGGCCCGTAGTTTCCCTGGCAACCGGCAGGAAGCGTCCCCGGGAGCTGAGCCGCCCGTCCCGCGGGGCCGGCGGAGCGGGGACAGCGCTGCCCCGGCCCGACGCTCCCCGGGATCAGCGGGAGTTGTGGGAACGGGAGAGGGGCCGAGGGGAGCAGGGTGTCCCCCTCGTTCTCGCACTGGGTCTGCGGATGTCCCGCGGGGGCCGGGCCGGCGGCTCTGTGGGAACTCGCCGGAGCGTCTCCGCTGGAGCCTCTCGGCAGTGACGGCGCTCGAAGCCCCGCGTCTCCTTCTGCCGCTGCCCCAGCTGCGCTCAGGAGAGTTGGCGCTCACCAGGGTAAGGAAGCAACGTCGCCTTTCAAATCCTACTGCACTTTTCCTCCTTTGGAAGTAGTCTTTTAGAGGTGTTTTCGTATTTCCGTTTAAAGTGTCTGTCCTTTGCTTGAAGTCTGTCATCTACCAGTAGATGGGTCACTTCTGTATCAAACCTCGTACGTCGCTTGTTTGATTCACGACTGTACTTCAGCCGTCTGATCTCTCTGCAAACACGTGTGAGTGACTTTCCGAGCTCATGACTACACAAGGGCTTTCATCTCTGAAGGTTGAGACCTCCTTATGAAGACTACTTTTCCTGCTCAGTGCCACTTCCACCTCTGCCAGTATATTGCCTCATTGCGTTTTTACAAAGCCATTATCACTGTCCTTACTACTATCTTCATTTCTGTCCCAAAGGGCTGACACTGTTCCTGCTATTGTCACACTTTTTATCGTTTACTTTTTGTCATGGTACAACCACTGACTTTTCTAGATTCAGTTGTTAGTTAAAAACTCAGTAAAGTCCTTGACATGTATCTTGACTACTTCCTGGGAAACAGAATAAATTAAATACATCTGAATTACTTTTTAATACTTTTCTGAGAAAAATATTTACGTTGTTATTAGCAAGCTGACTGTTCATATTATGAGCAATTGTATATTTCAAAGGTTGACACTGATAGCACTATTTTGTGATATATGATGCTACTGTCAAGAACTTATCTGGTGTTTTTATAGTAAAAAAAAAATATTTTGATTCTTATTTTTCTGATAGTTAAAAATATGCCTTGTAACTAATGTGATTAGAGTTTAATGATAATAAGCTGGCATAAAATCAGTAGATTTTCTTTCTGTGTTATTGTTTGTCTTTTAGGGCTTCAAATTATTTCTGGTTTTAATGACTTGCATTTTACCGAATAGTTCATGTAAGTGTCATGTAAGTTTTTGTGTGTTCTGAAGAGACTTAATTGTCTATTTGTGGTATGCTTGTTCTTTTAAAAAGACTGTCACTGGAGACAGGCTGCGTTCTGGAAATAGTAAGATAGAGAAGATAGGATGTACAGTGGGTGAACTGATTTGAATCACTATTTCTGATTAAATCATCCATCAAGAAGTATTGATTTAAACTTTCAGTTTTAGTTTTGCTTTGTATTTTAGCTAATTTGGTAATCATTATTATATGTTGTTTCTTGACATTCACTAAAACTTAGGTGCTAGATTTAATTCTTTACACAAGTCATAAAGACATAGCATATCTACACAAGTGCTGGGACCTTAGAATTTTTTACCAGAAACAGAAACAATCCTAAAGATTTCATAATTTAGATGATGACTGGGGAATGAGATGCTGGAAAGCTGTGGAAAAGGTCCTGGTCGACAGCAGGTTGAATATGAGTCAGCAGTGCCCTGGCAGCCAGGAGGGCCAACCCTGTCCTGGGGGGCATCAGGCAAAGCATCACCAGTTGGTCAAGGGAAGGGATTGTCCCGCTCTGCTCAGCACTGGTGTGGACTCACCTTGAATATTGTGTGCAGTTTTGGGTGCCACAATAAAGGAAAGATATTAAGCTATTAGAGAGCACCCAAAGAAGGGCAACAAAGGGGGTGAAGGGCCTTGAGGGGAAGCTGTATGAGTAGTGGCTGAGGGCACTTGGTCTGTTCAGCCTGGAGGAGACTGAGGGGAGACCTCATTGCAGTTACAACTTCCTTGTGAGGGGAAGAGGAGGGGCAGGCACTGATCTCTTCTCTCTGGTGACCAGTGACAGGACTTGAGGGAATGTCCTGAAATTGTGTCAGGGGAGATTTAGGTTGGATATTAGAAAACTTTCTTCACCCAGAGGGTGGTTGGACACTGGAAGAGGCTCCCCAGGGAAGTGGTCACAGCACCAAGGCTGACAGAGTTCAAGAAGCATTTAGATGATAGTCTCAGGCACATGGTGTGATGTGGATGGTCCTGGGCTAAGGGTTGTATTCAGTGATCCTTGTGGGTCCTTTCCAGCTCAGCATATTCTATGATTCTGTGACAAAGTATGTGACTGGAAGTCCTGTTTGGAGGGAAGAATTAGAATAACCAAGCTAAACAAGGACTGTATGTGCAAGAGTCTGGCAGAGATTAGGGCAGGTGGCTTATAGAGCTGTGGGTGTGTGAGTAGCATGGCAAAAAAAATCTGCCTCTCTAGTTCATCCTGATCTCAGTATTTGGAATTTAATCACATTTTTGACAAAAACAGGTGTCATCAACTTGCTAAAGGTGATAGCTGGATGGCAAGCATTCTGCTCATCCTTGAGGCAATGTTTGTTTCTGTGTATTATTTAATTTGCCTCCTATAGTTTTCATTTCTATATATTGTAATTTCTTGTTCACAAAGGAATGTAATTTCTTATTTACTAAATTGTTTTTTACAATCCAGAATGCACCATAGCATAAATTACTGAAAATTAATAATATTCAAAACCAACATTTTCACTCTTTTAGTTTTATTAATATTTGAAAACTTGTAATTTTCCAGGAATAATTTATCTTGTTCATCATAGTGTCAGACTTGGTATGTTAAATAGGCAGAGGACTATTAATTTTATTAGGGACACTTTAACCCAATTGCATACATATATAGTGACACATGTAGCTGGTGCATTGACATTTAGAAGAGAAGTGTATCTAAATCAGTATTTAAGGATGTAAACAGAAGGTTATTTTTGCACTCTTTTAAAAAAATAAAAGTCGTTCTTCTTACGTGGAATTGGAATTAATTTTCTGTGTTCTTTCTTTGCTGCCTTACATTTCTGTTCTCATCTCTTACTGATTCTGCATTGGGTTTTTTGTGTCCTGAATGTACTTGCACTTCTCTTCTTTTCTTCATCCTGGCTATTCCTCAGATTGTTGCTTTCTTCTGATGTAACTGTACCCAACCAGACTATTTCACTCTGGGCTCTTCTGCTGAGCCCCGTAATGCTGCTTGCATTCCTGTAGGCTACCTAAAGGCAGACTGTAGCTAATTCACTGTAGCTGCAGGTCTCAAAGAACACAAGAAAAGGGGAGCAGGTTAGGAAATGTGTGCATTTGAAAGACCAAGTGACAAGACTGTTAAAGTTATCCCATGCACTGCATAGGATGTATAAGAATAAGCCTTTGTTTCCTGGTGCACTTATTCAGATTTTCTTGATTGTTTGTTCATGTCAGTTTTATGGCCTCAGGATTCTAACCCTTGATAGTCTGTCATATAGGAATGAAAATTATTTTATGTTTTTAATATTTTTTTTATTTTAGGAAGCAATGTTCTAAGAATGTCATCACACATCCAAATAAAAACAAAGACTGCACCACAGAAAAGCAAGACATCCTCTCCTTTACCATGTTCTCCAGAACCTGCAATTAAACCACAGCCAAAGCCTAGTGACAAGCTGAATCCTAAAACTATCGATCCGGTATGTATAGGTGATGGGGGGTTTGTTTGTTTGTTTAAAATCCATCTCTGGTTGGAAAAAATTTCTTTACTTTATGAAATGACATGCAGAACATGCTTCCTCTGGTCCTATTTTTTAAATTTAAATTAAACTTTTGTTATTAATCATACATTCCCTACCTTCTAAGCCAAATGCCTGAGGCATAACATTGTTTATTACATTTTTAATAAATGTGTTTTGGTACAATTGTGGCTTGCATGGTAACTGTTATCTTCTATGTACTATTGCCCTAAAAAGAGATTTAGAGCTAAGAGATAAAGAGAGTTGGTTTGTTGTTTTTTTTTTTTAATATACTTCTAAACTTTGATACCTGCTGCTTTAGAGGAACTTATTGCAGTTATGCAATGAAACTAAGAATCAGGCAGCATCTTGAAGATCATCAAGACTTCATGAAATCTAGCAAATTAATTGCTGGTGAGCATTATATGAAACTCACAATTACTGTGAATATGTAATACTTAGGAAAAATATGGGGTCTTGGGAGCAGAATAATGAATGGAGTCACTTATTTCATGGAAGTCACGTACCTGAAGAACTAGCATTGAATACATGAATTATAGCTCACCACTGGTCCACATAATTTGACAATTAGTAATGTCACAGGCTTTTTGGAAAGTGAATTAAATGCAGGAGTAGTTTGGTGAGGTAGTAGTTTGCAATAAACAGAGGCAGAATACTTTAATGTGGGCATCTTTTTTACTTTAAATCTTTTTGCAAGTAGCACAATGACTTAAGCCATGAAGTCATCAAATCATGCAAACAATTTTAATGATTTTAATGTAGGTTCAAACACTCAAAAGAGAAAAATTAAGATTTCATGGTATTTGCTTTTAAATGCTTTGTGATAAGATGTTTAAAATGGGAAGCATCATTGAATGATCATACTAATAAATAACACAATAGTTCATATGGATAGGAACCATGTATATGATAAAAACCAAATTTGTGCAGCTTTTCTGCCTATGAAGCTCCTAGTTTCCTTCTCCAGTGAGTTCTTTCTAGATTCTCACCCAGTATGAACCTCCCTGTGCATTTCCAGTGCCTTCATACCATCTTGCCCAATTTTTGGTATTTCTCCCACATCTTGCCACCTTGTACTTTTGTCTATACTCAGATCAAGATGGAACTGCATAAAACTGCCTTCTGCATGTTACCAATATAAATACAAGAGCATAAGGAAAGTGAGAGCTCCTTAATCTGTTAAGTAAAGAACCTGTAAGGCTTCAGTATTAACATTTGCAAGAGAAAATAGAAAAATAAGGTAATTCCATTGGGAGAACGCTGATTCTACATTATTTATTCATTTTAAAAACTCCCTAGCCAGACAATTCTGAAGAGCAGTTTTCTGATAAGTGTATCAAATATATGTTTTCCACCCCATACCTGCAGTTCTTTTTTTATTTATTTGTTTTAGAATCATATGACTAAGTTCTTTTTTTGGTAAACTGCATTTTAACATATTTATAATAGTTATAAAACTTTACTGTTATAATTAAATAATGCTCCTTCTCTCTGTCCTTGCAGTTTGGTGCTTATTCTCAACCAACATCTGCATTTGCTGCTACATATGCTAAAGGAGGCATTCCGTGCAGGTGTGTAGGGTTTGTTTAAATTTTTACTAAATATATTATGAAATACATCTCTTCATGTTTGATATTTTAGTTAGGTTGCTTGATTCCATTCATTTCTGGAAAGATTTCTAATGCTCAGCTCTTTTCAAAGCAAAAAGCAAATTTCCATGCCTCTGAAATTATCTTCATTTGTTTTTTTTTTATGCTGTATTAATACTAAAACCACATTTTTAAAGAATAGTTAAGTTTTTGCAGACTCGATTTCTCCAGGTAATCTTGTTTACTTCTCCCTACTAGCAAAGATAGTAAAATTAGTGCCATTTTAGTGAGTAGACCTCTTGCAGCCTTTTTCATCTGAAGTACTTAGTATGACAACATTTTATTGAATATTCCAATTCTGTAGTTGTCAGCAATATCAGATATTAACAAAAATACTTGTAAGTAATAGTTTATGGTGTTTTAAATTACTTTTGGATAGCCAATAAACATTTTAGTGTTTTCTTACTAGGATGCAGAATTTAAAAAAATTTAAGTAATCATTAATACAATGTACATGTGTTTACTTGTATAAAATAATCATTAATACATAGCCTTTATCTGTATCTTAGGAGTAAATAATAAATTCCAATATGATTTTCTTTCAGTTCCAACTGATTTCCCTTACCATTTGAGGAAAATGTTTCTTGCTACTTATCAAAATAAGTAACTTTGCAAAAGGAGCGTCTTCAGTGTTGGCATGAGAGGCATCTATAATTTTTATAACCTTTATTTTCTGATTTCTGTGTGATTAGGAGCACAATTTTGGAAACTACTGTATTTTGGGAAATTATTATAATTTCACTGTTAAATACCATTATACATAGACTAGGTTGGACTTGATGATCTCAGAGGTCTTTTCCAACCTAATGGATTCTGGGATTCTGTGATTTTGCTAAGGAGAACATGAGATTGTGTATATAACAGAGTAACACCACAAACTAATTGCTGATACATTTAAAGCGAGTAGTGGTAGTAATAAATTATGTATTCTTATATGATGATTTGTTAAAACTTTGTTCTTTATATAGGTTAGTGCATGGATCAGTAAAGCATAAACTGCAATGGGAATGCCTTCCTGAAACTGTTCCCTTTGATCCTCTCCTTGTAACACTGGCAGAGGTATACTCAATTTCTTGCAACATTAAGCATACAACCATTTCCTAATTGCAAATGTCATTTATTAACAATCTAAGCTAGCTGATTTAGGTTCACACACTAGGGAAATACAAAAAAAAAATTTGCGAAGATCTTGTATGAATGAAAATGGTCAAGAGCATTGCTATTTGTAGTTCTTTAGTTAGAGCATTCTGAGAGAGCTAGGTAGAGCTGTTTAATCTTCAGCATACTGGCCAAATGCAAGACTGCATCTCAGATTTCCAACTGCTGAATGAAATCTTCAATCCATTTGTAGTTTTGCAGGTTCTTTTGTAAACTAAATTGCTTTGATTATTTTTTTATATTAAGCCTACCTGTTGAAGTAAGTGTGTTCTTCTCAATAGATTGAACTAATACAATGAAAATAGCATCCTGTAAATAAACTGAAGAGCAGTACTATGCATTATGTTGAGGCTTCTATTTTCTCAGAACCATCTGTGACATTTATCACCAAGTATGTTTCAGGTGTCTAAATAAATGATGAATCCAATGCTGTAGATAGAATAAAGTGCATATCCAGAGGTGGCTTATTCTCTTTTTTTTTTTTTTTATTTTTAAAAGATTAAACAAAACTGTCAATTCCTAAAGTAACATAAAGCTCCTATTGTGGAAAGAAGAAAGGCTTCAGCCATTGCCCTTTAAATCTTTGAATTCTGCCAGTCAGGCCTTCTACACTAGAAGGGCATCTTTGTACCATCAACAAGTTTTTGATGTTACAGAGAGGAATGTGTGGTGGGGGGCATCTTTCCTTCCATAGTTCATCTTCTATTTTTTTTTTTCCTTTAGGGTACAAAAACATAGCCTGCTTTTGTTCCTGGTCTTGTTGAAAAAATACCTTGGGTAGTTAGATTAAAGGTAGTACACATATTGATTCAATAGGCAGTATTCATAATGTGAGTTTTAATATTCAGTGCTCCAAAAGAAAAATGAATTAGAATATTCTGTGAGGAGAGTTGTACTGAGTGGCTCCACATGGTGGAGTTAGTGTACTTTATGTTTTGAACTGATCTGACAAAATCTAAACATTATCTTGCTGCTATGTGGAACTTTTTAAATGTGTTTTTGTTTAAAAGAAGGCACACTATTAAGAAACACATTTTACATTTGCAACAGGGACTAAGAGAGACAAAACATCCCTATACATTTGTTTCAAAGGAGGGCTTTAGAGAATTACTTCAGGTTGAAGGTGCTGCTGAAAAAGCAATTCCCTTGTTGCCTCGTCTAGTTCCAGTCTTAAAGGCTACACTGGTATGTCTTACTCTTCATGAAGAGATTTTAATGGGTTTGATTTTTTTTTTTACTAGTAAGAACTACATGGAAAATATTAATGTGATAAATCTACTGCATGGGTTTTGGTTTGGGGGTTGGGAATGGTTTCTCTTTCTCTTGTAAACCCTGCCTTGGTTTATTAGCTAAATATGTATTTAACTGTAAATTCAAATGGGCAACTCGTTATAGCTGTATGACAGTAGCTATGGGCAAATTTTGTGGAAATGTTCTATTAAAGGTCTGTATATAAGCAGAAATAAATATATGTATTTGTGGTGTTTTTATACATCCACATGCAAAAAATAGAAATGAGGTGAAGTAAAATAGAGATGGAATAAATAATCATCTGTTACATCTAACAATTCAAAACATGCTGCAAAGGTAAAATAGAATATGTCAATGAGGAAAAGGGAAGAATACAGTTAAAATATTTGTGGTCATATTCTTAATTTTTAAAATGTTTTTAACTTTTCTATTCCTTCAGAAAACAAAGTGAGATATTGGCTCACTTTGGTTATCTTTTTTGGCTCTTTTTCATATTTTTCAGAGCCCTTTTCTGGTTCAGCAAGTAGCTGTTCTTTAATCTAGCTGTGTTTCAGTTTTGATTTTATAGAGATTGCTGAAAGCTTGAAAATTCTTTGTGATCTCAAATCAGAGGTGTAACAGAAGTTCAGAATTCTGTGTTATCAGTATATTTGATTTAGTTTGAAGACAAAATTAGAAATATTATTCTTACCTATTCCTCAATTACTGTTACTCATCTGATAATTTTTATTGTTGCACTGCTTTGGTATAAAGTCTTCTTAAACCTTCTACTGCACAAGCAATCTATCACTTCTAGTTAAAAAGAAAACATTCAGGTCTCAAATGCTGGAGTGAAAAAATAATTGTTTAAATAAACTTAAAATTTAGTACAAGAACAAAATAAATTCTTATGAGTCTGTTTCTCCACTAGAGGAAAAGTGAATAGTTAAACCATTAGAGAACTTAGGGATGGAAGAACCTTCCCGTGGGAGAAATAAAGATGACAAGGAACCCTAGAAGTAGATAAGAGCTAGATAATTGCTGGCAGGTTACAAAGGTGTAGAGAGAACTAAATGAATTGAGGCAGAAAGTCATTGGCTCCACTGTTTCTCCAACAAAGGAAGTTATTCTTATGAATTACGTAGAAATTACATTGAATAATTACATTTGTAAGTAAAATGGTGTCTCCCCATTTCAGCATATCTGCATTTGAATGGTTATTTCTAATATGCTATGCAATACTGAAATTGTTGGTGTAGTAAGCTGTTTTGCATGCCAAATTTTTTTATTTTATCAATACTAAATTGTAGTTTCCTTGTCTCAGAAGAAATGCAAGAGTTTTGCTGACATTTTGTTGATACTTTTGGTTCTACTTTAAAAATATACTTCTGTTTTTAAATGTGGCCTCTGGAGACTAATATTCAGTCCTGTTGTACTTGTATTTCTAAACATTATAGCAATTGGCAATTGCACAGTAATTCTAGTGTTTAAAAATACTACATGCAATCATAATGCAGAGATTGCAGTTTAGAAAAACTTTTGTGTTTGTGTGAATATTACTGATAGGGTTTTCTTTCTTCCCCCTCTGAAGGCCCATGCAGATGATGAAGTATTTGGAAGGGGATTGGATGCTTTAGTTCAACTGAGTGCTGTTGTTGGCCCATCTCTTAATGATCATCTTAAACACCTACTCACAAATGTAAGTTTTTAATGCTGTAGTAAAAAATCCTTTGTATTGTCATGGTACTTTTGTTGAGATGTTTCCTGTAATATCTGCACAGATACAGCGGAGGACTCAGCAGTTCCATGAAAAGCACTATTTCATATATTCCTCTGAGTGAGTCCTTCATTCTTTAATAATATGGTGACTTATAAAGTTCTAGCAATGTCCAAAAACTGTTGTTAACATTAACTGGAGAATAATGGAAGTATAGGCCTGAGGAGAAATAGATGCTATGTTTTGGAGGAAAGTTTATTACCAAATGAGTTTTCCATTTTGTGTGTGAACATTTTAACAAAACTGTGACAGTTTCAATAAATTAACTTAAGCAAATATTCCCACTTCTTTCAGATGAGAATTCCGCTCAAAGAAGTTTTCATTAAATAAGCTTAGAGTAGAATTATGAGAAGTATTGTTATGCTGAGTCCTTCTGAGGACATCCTTCCTCTGTCAGATGGGCTTTTCATGGTTTCATTTAGCCTGCTTGCAAAGTGCACTTTTACAGCAAAATAAAAGGACCTTTTTTGACATCCAGTGCAGAAGAGAGAAATTGCAACAGTTTTTTTAAAGTATTTCCACTGTAATAAATCTCTCAATGCATGTGAAAAATGTGTTAACTTTTTATGTAGACAGCCCTTTAAGAATGACTTTTTTTTAAGATTGGTACTTCTTTCGAATTTGTTTGCTAAAAGAAAAAAATAAAATAAATATTTTTGTTGGCTAATAGATTCAGGTTTTTTAAGTTAACCTTATATTCCTCTGCCTTGACTGAGTTCCATACTTTAACATTCTTTTCATCCTTAATTTTCCAAAAATGAAATAAAGTAACAAAATAGACTTACTATACCCTTTTTCCTATATATTGTACTATATTGTGCAACAAACCTTTTTATTTTTCTTTTCCAATAGCTATCAAGGAGATTAATGGACAAGAAATTCAGAGAAAGAGTTACAGTTACTTTACAAAAATTGGAGCAATATGGTGGAAAGGTGAGTTGATCAGATAATTATTCTGTAATCTGGACATTTGAATGCAATTTTGCCAAAACAACTTTTATCTCTGTCTTTCTTGCCATGTTCTTGCTTCAGTAGACCTGGGATGCATGCTTTGTATTCCATTTTCTGAGACTAAATATGTTTCTCAACAGGATTTACTCTTGCTAGAAGTTACTTTTTGCTGTTATTGATGATGCCTGCCCATTCCCCCTAAGAGCTTATTGTTTGGGTTATTTACTGAGGAGTTCTGACACGCACATTCCAACTCACCTTGGTTAACTGAGAGCTTAGATCTATAATTGCTATAAATCAAAAAATACACTTTAAGGAATAGGTGGCAGAGGTTTCTTCTGATGAACATTCCGTTGCCATTTTATGTTGTGCTGTACATTGTACAGAAATGAGGAAAGAAGAAAAAGTGAGGAGTGTTGGGTTGGATATTCATCTAAAAGAGAAAATATTTGCTTTTTTGACCCTATGAACGCTTCTGTGTGATATATTCAATGGTGATTCATAAAGAATAGGAATAACCTGAAGAGTAGGGACCATAAATACAGGTCCACCAGTTCTGAGCTTATGCACCTTAATCAGTAGGTGCCCAAATAATCAGTAGACATCACTTCATTTTTTTGTGTGTGTGCTCATATTCATTTAAGGGCAGTAGCAGTGTTCAGTTACAGACTTGAAAAACATTACAACAAATGAAGGAGGATGAGAGGTTTTTTTTTATATGAAGTGCGACAAGAAAAGAAAAATGATTTCTCATCTCTGCATTCTGAAAATTTAGGTCTAGATGATGTAACTAATCCAGTGAGTCATTAAACTCTAACTCTTCTGTCAATCCCCTGATTTCTTGTTGTCTGGTTCTTTTATGAGTAGGTCTTTCTGTGTGTCTTTTAAAAATACTCCTAAATTGTGATTATGAGCAATATTATATAATCCAATTAATTAATTTATCAAATTTCTATTCTAAATTACTTATAAAGTGTACGATTCTTACTTTTATTAGAAGTCTCTTCTAGAATATTACTCTTCTGTTTAAAAATCCTTATTGTTTCATGTCTATATTTATGTCCAGTTTTATGTATGGGTTTACATGTCCCTTCTCTTGAAATTTTACTCTCCAGCATTAGTTATCACAATCATCCATTTTCTGTTTATTATTTTCAGCCCTTTTGACAGTAAATTTCTCATCAAATAGTAACTTTTTAGTTTTCTACTGTTTCATAATAGCAAAGATCACTAAGTAAACATTGTGAATTATGCATTTTATAGAGACTGTATGAATACTGTCATACATAGTGCTAGTGCTCCTTATTTTGTTTAACTTTGTTTTGTTTTCTTCAACAGCCAACTGTGGCTATCATCAAATCGAAAATTCCAACCTATTGTTCTATCTCCCCTTGAACAAGAAATCTATAGTGATTTGTACTGTAAGGTGAAGTTTGGAAAGAAGCTGCCTGTGAACATCACTGACACTTATTTGGGGTATGATATATTCTCTTAAAATAATCACAATTCTTCACTATGATGGAGAGTGGGAGTCTTATCAGTTTGAGAATATGTAATTACAGAAGACTTCTCTATATTTGCATATGCATTGTGCTTATGATGACATTGATTAACCTGCTGTTATTTCAAAAGCAGAGTAAATATTGATTCTTATTTTGTCGTAAACTACAATTTCATTTAATATATCTGCAGTGCTTAACATGTTTTGTATATTTGGGTGATGCAAACAAATTTGGCAGTAATTACTTAAATAGTAAGTAACTTGGTGTTAAATGACATATTTATACCTGCTTTTGAAACATATGACTTATTTTGTGACAGGCACAGATGGACGCATTTAGACATAGAACTGTGAGCACTCATAGACTTCTTCAGAGTCAGCTTTTCAAGGTGTGAAGCTGAACACACCAAACAAGGAGCATATGGTGCAAAGCTGAACTTGCTCAGTGCATTCTCAGCACATTGTTTTGAAATGCTGGGAAGGCTTGGAGAATACAGTGCAAAGGTATCAGGTTGCTCCCCAGATCCACAGCCTAGGGTTTGCTCAGCTAATTCGTTCCAGTTAGCTTTGGGCCTGCTGAATGGGAGCTGGATGTAGGAGGCAACTTCAGAGTATTTACACTGTGCTCCCTTTGCACTGAGTTCAGGAATGTCACAGATATGCTTGGGACTAGCTTGTGAATTCCAGACTAGACAAGTTAATAAACTTCTGAACATGGAAGCTATAAAAAAATAGGAGTTAAAAACAACAAAAGCATTTTAGATGCCAGCTTACCTCTCTGTCAAGCCTTGTAGGTTGCAGCATTTGCTCATGATTGTATTTGAACTTGACTGCAAAATAATTCCATAATGTTGGAAGGGAGGGATATTTTTGTCATCAGAAGATACTGATGCGTAGAGTATTAAAAAAGTCTGTCATGTGAAAGCAATTTCAGCTTTTTTTTTGAAAATTACCACTGCTTGACTAAATTAAATTTACCTCAGGACTGTGGTATGATTGCTGCTGAGATAAGAACTGTGCTAAGTCAAGATAAATGTATTTAGGCTTTTTTTTTTTTAATTGTATTTCTTCAGTTAACAATTTTGCCAACAAGTATTTAACAAGTGAAAAAAATTGCTCATGGTCCTTTTTTTTCATGTTTACTTTATTTTTTTTTTTACAAAATGTGCACATTTAGTTTACACAAACACGCTACAGCAGATTTCAGGTGTACATGTATTGTACTACTCTTATCCTACACTGGTGATAGCAGAGCAGCCTTCAACATGCCTGTAACATCCCATCTCTACACCAGAATAGATACCTGATTTATTTTTACAAAAGAATGCTTGCAACGTTCTTTCTACTTCATTAATTCACATTTTCTGCAGCAATGTCACAATGAAGGTTGGCCTATCTCAATAGCATTTCACCTATTTTAAAATATTGTCATAAACTCTGTGGACAATATATCTTAAAAATTACATGGATGGAGGGGCATTGTTATATTTTAGGTGCATACTTTTTTAGAAAAATCTTTCTAGGTTCAGAATAAATAGCTCCAATCTTAATGAAGAAATGATCCTAAAAAAATGTAATGCATTTATCACATATAGATGATATATAGCTGAAGTTTCCATTTCTTCCTGATTCTGTCTCATAGTTACAGATATTACAAAAAGCTGAAATAGATGTTAGCCTGACTAGCAGTCATTATTAGTAGATGTTACTACATAGGGATATTCATTCTCAGCACTGAAGTGGGATGGAAGTTTCAAAGGAAGTTCATGCCTTTTTATTTATTAAAGGCAAAAAGACACATACTTATGAAAAAAGTGTTAGGATCCAGTTAAGCTTTCTTCATGAAAAATTAGAAGATCCTTAATTTTAAGCTAAGAACTTTGCAGACACATCCAAGAAGAATTAGAAATACAATATGTAGGACGCCTGGTATTCCTGTCGTGATAGATTTACTAGGTAAGTGTGATTGATAGAAGCTTACTCATATTTTTTACAGAATAAATCTACCTATAAGCAGTTTGGGTTTTTGTTCTATAACAGTTCTTCCTCTCAGGTTATCAATTTTGTTAGGTTTGGGTTTTTTTTCTTTGGAAGAGAAAAGCAAGTCAAAGGTGGAAGGCAATTGCAGCAAGATGTGCATTGCACACTGATTATAGCATTAACTCTAAGTGTTATTCAAAAATGAGGACTACACCATAGAAATGGGAAAAGAAAATACATGATAGTGCCTCTGTATAAATTAGAAGCTAAGTTTTGAGAAATACACTTGAATACCTGGAGTTTAATCCAGTAAAAATGAGTAGCAAAACTAAGAATATATTTTTAATCTCCTTGTGATTGTATCTGTTTTAACTAGGGTTTGGAATGATAATAAAACTGCATACTGTCTGTTTGAATTTGGAGTAAAAACTTGGTTTTTCAGTACAATCTTGTTAACTAAGTAGCCGCTGTTGAAGAGCTAAATTTAATAATTTGGAAAGAATTTTTTGTTGGGAAGAGTTTATAATAAAAAATTTACTTGCATAATCCATGTCTCAGTGTAAAGCTGAGTAACTTTATTTATGATAAAGTGGGAAATCCATCTTTTAGATAATGTTGCTGAATAGCTCATATTTGTCCATTAGTTGTAGATCTAATGTCTTCATTAAATCACATTTTCAAAGAGCTGCATGGATCGCATTATATTCTCATCCTGTAAAAAAAGACAATAAAAAACCAAAAATCATACACCATTACAAATGTAGCTGGCCAATATCTATAGTGCCATGGTGTAGAACTAACTGTATTTTGGTTAATTACAACATTTTCTTTCAGCTTCTTTAGAGAAATTGTTAGCAGAAAAAGGCTGTTAATGGATCTATGCTTAAATAAGTTTTTGTATATATTAATGAGACCAAAACTACCCTGTCAAGGATTTTCTTAATACATATTAAGAAAATTAAGTCTGCAGTATTTCAGAGGCTATCAGTTTATACCCACTATAAAATAGTACATTTAGACAATGGAACTCATGGAATAGTTGTACCTGAAGTGCAACTCCATACATGGAATTGCTACTTCTGTGCATTGTACAGAGGAGCCTTTTTGCAATTTTAGGACATCCTGCTACATAGCTAGGGATGACTCTAACATAAAATAGATTGAAGTGTGCATCTTTGCATGAACTGAAGAGTCAATCAGTTTGGCAAGTATCACAACACTCTTCAGCTCCTCAGTTCAGATTTTTTATGTGCTCACACTGAAAGATGGTCACTGCTTTCCAATGCTACTTCTGCTTTCTGATTGCTTTGCATTAGGTAATGTTTTAAGAAAATCTTCAGCTCCCAAGTTTTGCATAGTGCTTAGTGATGCATCCCTCTGTACTCCAGTTTTTATCAGTAAATAACTCTCAACACAGTGCTCAACACAGCACTCAGAAAACAGTATTTTTCTTTGTAAGCTTTACATTTCAGTGTATAGAAGAAAGAGTTTACTTACAGTAGCCTATATTTATTGGCATTTCTGGATCAACAGTTGCTTGCACAAAACAATATATGTACACAATACAAAAGTTTATTACATGCTCATTTAGCATTTGCTGGTCTTCACTGTAATCAGCCTATATTTTAATCTGAATGCACACTCTTTAGCACTTTCTTGAGAGATAATTTAGACATCTTCAATTCAAGTGAATAAAAAGACTGAATTTGATAAATTATTTTTCTAGATTTCTTGAAAGATGCCTAAAAGACCCCACTTTCTAGAGGTTATCTTATAGTACTCTCCACTACTGATAGGGATGTGATACTTCTGTACATAAATCTTCCCATAATACATGTTCAGTATCAATTTCCAGTTAAATTATTCACTGTTCAGTCTAGTGGGTGATTTGCTTTGTAAAAATGACTGGTTTGAGTAATTTGCTTAATTTATGTTATGAAACATGCACAGTGGGGTTTTTCATCTTTGATTCCATATGCCATCTCAAGTGATGTTGCTGTAAGAAATGATCTGTGCACTATTTTGTACTGATAAAATAACTTATGGAAGCAATTATATGTAATTTCAAAAAATATGTAGATTAATGCTTAAAAATTTGTGTAGTAAAATTACTATATTAAATTACTGAAAGTTAAAATAAATAACTTTTTTCCCACTGTATTGCTTTAAAATATCAATAAACTAGACAAGATCACTGATTAATGTAAGGTTGAAGTTTGGTATGACTGGCATCATTTGTCATTTAATTAATATAAACTGGAAACTAAGCTCAGCAAATGGGCAACACAAACAACATGCTCTGAATTTCCTAAGTGTTTTGCCACTTCCTACCAATTTTATTATATGTATATCATCATGAATGAAACTGGTAGTTTTCTAAAATGAGCTCCATATTTCTGAGGTTGGCTGTTTCTTTACAGAAGACTTCCAATGCCCCTTCCTTAGTCAGTCAAATGGGAAGAGTCTTCACAAGAAAATACAGGCTTGTCGTAATATTTAGAATATGGTAAGTTTTAGTAGCTTTTTTTCCTATATTTAAAAAAGAAAAAAAAGCAGATGCTTGCACTGGAATTCTTTGGCAAGTGTATCTTTTTCATTTGCCTCTTGTTTCAGTACATTTTTCTACACATAACTGATTTGTTTAATGATTCCTAACTCAAGACATAAGGAGGTGTTAGTGCATATGAAACATTGTCTATATGAAGCACAAACCTGGATGAATGAGCTTTGACAGATCTGACCTACCTTTAAGGCAGTTTTTCTTAGGTTTGAGATGGCTTCTTTGTTGTCTCCAGGCTAGCCCAGACCATCAGCATTGTGTATGGCAAGGCTTACTCCTGCAGAAAATACCTATCCCAGAAGCCTTTTTATCATTATCAGAAGAACCTGTGTCACTCACCCTGACATTCACCTATGACCCTGAATGCCTTAGTCCTTTGCCTCTGTTCTTCACGGTGCTGCTGTAGATATGAAGCAATACCTGAGTCAGACCATCTTCCACCACCACCAAGCAGAGAAAGGAGGCTAACTTGGCTTCCAACTCCAAGTAGAGGAATGCCAGTTCTCAGAAACTGGCAACTCTTGCCTGAGATAGCCTTCAAAGGCTCCTGCAGCCTTTCCCTGGCGGAACACACTTCTGGTTTGTTTAAAGATTTAGGCCTTACCTTTTTAGATCAGTCTCGTATCTATCGGGATATTAAAAAAAGGTTTTCCTACAGCTGCATTTTAAAATACCTGAAAATACCAACAGCAAGATGAATATGAGTCAGCAGTGCCCTGGCAGCCAGGAGGGCCAACCATGTCCTGGGGGGCATCAGGCAAAGCATTGCCAGCCGGTCAAGGGAGGGGATTGTCCCATTCTGCTCTGCGCTGGTGTGGCCTCACCTTGAATATTGTGTGCAGTTTTGGGCACCACAATAAAGGAAAGATATTAAGCTATTAGAGAGCATCCAAAGGAAGGCCATAAGGATAGTTAAGGGTCTGGAGAGGAAGCCATATGACTGCAGCTGAGGTCACTTGGTTTGGGAAGAGGAGACTGAGACCTCATCATGGTCTTCAACATCCTCACGAGGGGAAGCAGAGGGGCAGGTAATGATCTCTTCACTCTTGTGACCAGTGACAGAAAAGAAAATGGCATAAAGCTGAGTCAGGGGAGGGTTGGGTTTAAGATCAAGAAAAAGTTTTTCACCCAGAGGGTGATTAAGCAGTGGAACAGTGGAACAGGCTCCTCAGGGAAGTGGTCACAGCACCAAGCCTATCCTCAGTTCAAGAAGCGTTTGGATAATAATCTCAGGCACATGGTGTTACTCTTGGGAATGATCCTGTGCAGGGCCATGGACAGGAGCTGGATGGTCCTGATGAGTTCCTTCCAACTCAGTATGTTCTATGATTCTATAAATCCAAACCCCAAACCTAATTTCTGAAACCACATCTTGATATAAATATGAATTGCACACTTTGCAGCTCAGAAGTCTTAATAGAAGAACACTTTTTAGTAGGCAGACAAAAATTTAGGCAGCAAGACACTTTCTGTATCAAAACACATGACCACCTTTGAAGTTAAAAGCAAGTGAAGGTGAGATAAGTGGCACGATGACAACGGTGCCTCTATCATGTAGTAGTTTAGAGAGCATCTCTCTCACATGTATTCTGAGTACTTAGAAGAGGTAAATAAGAAATCTTCTAACAGTCATGAGAATCTGAATCTCATTGGATCAGGACAGCAGGCAATTCCTTACTGAAGGTATTTATTTTCTTTGTAAATGAATCTCTCAGCCCATCACCATAATTGCTGCCAGGTGCAGATTAATGTGTCATTTAACTTCCAGAATGCTACAGACCTCAGCTGGGAAATGAATCTCATTTCTGTTTCTGATGATCACTCAGTGTTAGCAGAGCAAATACCTTTCATCTGTATTCAACAAGACTGACAAGCTGGAGCCATGGTCAATGCAATAGAGCTCTGCTGACAGATAAGACACTACCCAATGCCCATTGCTAAGGTAACACTGAACAGCCACAGTTAGCAGAGCTGTTGGCTGTCAGTCATCCCCCAAAATCAGTGGATTAAAATCAAAGAAAGAATCACTTACTAGGTAGCTGTGTTTATAAGAGCAACCCCAATGAATAACTACAGGTGCATATAAAAATAGACTGGTTCTAGAGAATCTTTGAGCATCTAGAGCTTTCCCTGTTCTAAATGGTTAAAAAACTATGCCTCACTAAATGCATTTATCTTGATAGTCTTGTTTTCTTCTGTCTCTTTACTAGTCTCTTCTTGGTGTAAAAGATAAGGATCAACGTGCACAGACTATATTGCTGGTCTCAGTCAGCTTCATATTAATCACTCTGGACAGGGTATCAGTAGACCACTACTATGACTTCTTATAACAGGAGTTCCTTAAATTTCTGAAAATGCGACTTATCTTTTCTCATATCGTCTCCTGGTCTGAGAACAAGCTGGTTTCTGAAGAGCAGAGGAGTGAAAGCAGGCTGTAACTCCTGCTGCAGAAGTTATTCTCAGCTCTATCTCTAGAGGCCAGGAGCTGCTTTCAGCTACCCAGCTGTAATGTAAACACTTGCAGCTGATAATCACAATGAATTATCAATCTCTTACCTTGAGAAAACTTGCCTGGTGTTAACGCTTGCCATCCAACACTTAGCAAGGCCTTTGCACTCTCCTTTCAAGACCTTACTGCTTATAAGCACATCATGACTCACTGAGAAGCTCATCTATAGATGATAAATTTTCAGGCAATATTACTATTGCTGTGACTATATGTCAGTTGTAACAGGACTGTGTGCCCCAGCATGGGCACAAGATAGAAATAAATATTTAGCTGAATGTGAAGAAAATTTTTGCTATCAAGTATGAAAAAACGTTGAAAAGATAAGGGATATTGACACGGTTGTCTAATGAACAAGAACAGCTTGTATAGACCAGCTCTTCTGCAGATTCAGGGCAGAAATTTATTGAGACTTTTAGTGTTTTTGTGTAATGGTATACATACATACTCTACCTTGGGAAAATGCTGTCTCTGGTATTAGGATTATCCTCACTGTCACTCCAGAATTCTGTGTAGCACTATGATGGCATTAGCCAACAGATACACATTCAG